GGGACCTGACTCTCAGACCGGGGTGGGGGCGGGGGGCGGGGGACTGGAGCGCCAAGGGCTGGGTCCAGGGGGAGGCAGGGGCCAGATGAGGGGAAGGTGAGGAGTCAGGACTTTCTTCCTAGTGTAAGGGGTAGCCTGGGAGAGGAGGAAGCCAGAAGTGCCCCCAGATTGGGGAGAGCCCGGGAACAAAGCTGCCCCCTCTCTTGCAGTTAACCCGGTGTTTGACCCGGTGTTTGACCCAGCGGAGGACGGCAAAGAAACCAGCACCAGCGGGGCCAGGCCGTCTGTCTCAGGCACACGTCAGTCCGCACCCCACTCAGAGGCTCAGGATGCTCTCAACGTTGTGGGGCAGCGAGTGGTGGGCCATGAGCAAACCTGGTCACGGGCAGGAGGTGCCCGAGACCCTTGGGGTTGGATAACCCCAAGGTTACCAGGGCAGATGGGCTTGGGCAGTATTCGACATTGCAGTCCTCCTCGGGAACCCACCTGGCATTGTGGGTACCCACCCAGCTGGCTCCAGGGCCCATGTGTGAGACCCCTCCCAGGGCCCCCTGGCCAGGCTCAGGGGTGACAGGCAGGGAGGAGAGGAGTAGGCTTCTCCTTCAGTCCCTTCCCACTGCTGCCCTGGGAGTCAGGGGAATAAGGGAGGGGCACGGCCGGGACTGCACGTCCGGGACCCCGGCTCCTGGTCTACCTGGCTGAGAATCGGGTTTCAGGGTCTCACTGTCCGAAGAGCCAGCGGTGGAGCTCTGGGCCAGTGCCCACCATGCACACCCTCAGCAGGGTGCTTCCTGCCCCACGTGTGCATAGCGCAGGTGACAGCGAGCCCACCTCACGGGGCAGCTGGCTCCGTTTTCAGACAGAGTCAGGCATTTGAAGATGTGCTGCTCCGAGGTGACCAGCCCCTCTGCTCCCACAGTGGACCCTGAGGCCCTGGTGCGGGAGGAGCAGGCCAGCACCATCTTCCAGTCTGAGCAGGGCAAGAAGAGCATCGACATCTACTGGCTCTTTGATGACGGAGGTCAGTGCCCCCCCTGGTCACCAGCTCTCCCCGGGGCTGCCTTCCCTCTGCCCTTCCTGGCCGCTCTGGACAAGGCCCCTGCAGGGACCACAGAGCCCAGCGAAGGGGACTAGGGACCTCTGGGCTTGGGGAAGCCTGGCTGGGCCCCTCTTCTTGGCTGTAAAATGGGGGACTTTGTCGGAGGAGCTGAGGTCAGCGTGGGATGGAACGTTCAGACAAGATGGGCCTTTGGGGGTCACAGGCCCCTGCCATAAACGGGGGAAGCTGTAGGAATGTTCTTCACTTCCCAAAAAATACGCTCTCTCCCACTTTTCTTAAGACACATGCCTCTCGGCTCTATTGTTGCACCCCTGATTGAGCCCAGACTAGACAGAAAAAGCTTCTGCTCCAGGAGCACGTATCCTCTGTAGACTGAACACTTACTACACGCTTGACACTACGTGCAATCCCTAGGCAGGAACTATTATGAGGCCCCTTTACAAAGAAGGAAACTGAGGCACAGAGCCGTGAAGTAACTGATCAATTGGTCCAGGGTTGCACAGTGGTAAGTGACAGCTGGTCTTTGGCCTCATGTGGAGAGATGACAAGGAGGGATGAGGGTTCCCACCTACTGGTCAAATCTTTAATCTTCAAAAAAAAATGCCAGCCATCCAGATTTTTTTTTTTAAGATTTTATTTATTTATTTGACAGAGAGATACACAGCGAGAGAGGGAACACAAGCAGGGGGAGTGGGAGAGGGAGAAGCAGGCTCCCCACTGAGCAGGGAGCCCGATGCGGGGCTCGATCCCAGGACCCTGGGATCATGACCTGAGCAAAAGGCAGACCCTTAACAGACTGAGCCCCCCAGGTGCCCCAGCCAGCAATCCAGATTTTCACGTGAAAATCCCCCAATTATTAAATGCCAGCTCACGGATTTAAAAACATCATGCAGGCCACATGAACCCTAGCCCAGAGAGCCCCGTGCGCCACCTTGGTTTAGTCTAGCACCCTCATTACATAGTTGGGTAAACTGAGGTCCAAAGAGAGGAAGAGGCGTGCCAGTGGCAGATGGGGCAGGAACCCAGAGGGTGCTCTATCCTGAGAGCAGCTCCCCCTTGATTTACGGGGACTCTCCTTGCCAGGCCTCACCCTCCTCATCCCCTATCTTCTCGGCCGCAAGAAGAGATGGAGCAAATGCAGGATCCGCGTGTTCGTGGGGGGCCAGATCAACAGGATGGACCAGGAGAGAAAGGCGTAAGTGGGGAGCGCTGGTGGGGGGTCGCGCAAGACCAGCGCCATCCCAGCTCTGCCCAGGTTGCCCCCTCTTGCTCTCCCCCACCTGCGCCCCCCCCCCCAGGTGGCCTCAGCTCTCTCCAGGTCACAGCAGTGGGGAGGGAGCTCTGGGCAGGAGCAGGTTTCTGTCCATTTTGGAAGTTGTTTTGCTGTCCCATGCCCCCTTTAATAAGACGCAGACACCCTAGTTCCAGCCATGGCGGGGAGGAGTGTTACATTTTAAAGCCACAAATCTGCTCAAGGAGAAACCTGTGTGAAGTGAAGGACGGAGAAGGCCCTTCCTGCTGAGAAATGAGGTGGGGCTGAGGATCCTTCAGGGCAACCACCCCCAAGCTTAGGATGCTGTCCCTGGTGAGACAAGAGGTGACATTAGTGGCCAGGAGTTGGGGCAGCAAATCCCACTGGATTTCTTGGTGAAAAGTGACTTTTTTTTTTCAAAGATTTTATTTATTTGACAGAGAGAGACACAGCAAGAGAGGGAACACAAGCAGGTGGAGTGGGAGAGGGAGAAGCAGGCCTCCCGCTGAGCAGGGAGCCCGATGCTGGGCTCGATCCCAGGATCCTGGGATCATGACCTGAGCTGAAGGCAGACGCTTAACGACTGAGCCACCCAGGCGCCCCGAGAAGTGACTTTTGATTCTCTTCCAACCGTGTGGCTCATTCCGCAGGAGAAGGGCTCTCTGCTCGGGAACCCATGCTAGTCTGTCTCCGCCAGAGAGGACAGGCCTGGCCAAGGAGCTTGGCGGGCAACAGCAGAATTTAGTTCAACCAGCCAGAATTTAGTCACGTTTGTTTATTTACTTGGGTTTTATTGATCGCCGCTTTCTGGCAAGAGATGCTGGTTTTCTGTTGAAAATTGCCGTAGGAAATTTCAAGATGTGGCTAAGGAAGAATGTGAGTTGATTTAAGCTGTAAAGGAAGTAAATGGTCAAGGCAGGTAGACAGGTGTGCCTAGAGTTGGGCAATGGCCTTGTGAGGTGGAAGGTTGTGGGATGGAAGACCACTAGAGGGGGTGGCTGGGTAGAAACAACGGGTGGCTTGCTCAAGGTCGTGCGATGCCCGGCCTCTGGTGCTCTTGGCAACAGTCCCACCCTGATGCCCCAAGGTCAGGACCCTGGGGACTGTGTCCCCATGACCCCTTCTCAGTCACCCCCCGTGTGAGTTAAAGGCGACCAGCAATCCCATCTCCTGGTCCTCACCCCTGCTGAGAACCTCTGCCCCAGAAGGCCCTTCTCAGCAGTGCCGAGGAAATCAGCGTCTGGCCTCGCTGTGATCTCCAGAAGATAAAGAAGTCAGGGAGGCCGCTTCGCCGGCTCAGCTTTCTGTTGCAGCCCCGAATGCAAGCCCCGGGCTCAGCAGGTTTAGTGGAGCTCAAGGCCATGGCACCATGGGCTCACGGGTTGTCCGGCACGTGAAGGTTGTGGAATGTCCTCTGCCTCCCAACTGTCCTTCAGCCAGGCCAAGCCCTCTGGCCTCCTTGTGACCCCGAGGCCAGGCTGGCGCTGCCTCTGGCCGGGGCCCTGCCCAGGCCTGCCACCCCCATGCTGCATACCAGCACATCTGCTCACAGCTCTGCTTTCCTAATTTCCCTCCCAAGTTCGGGGACCAGCAGCGGCTTGATGGCTGGGCCGTGGCCTGGTCCTTAAGGCTTATCCCTGGCCCCTGCCCCCCACCCAGCCAGCCACTCACTGCTCCCGCCCCACCTCCTGCACCCCCATGCCCTCACTCATTTGGACTTCCCACCCCCATGCACTCAAACCCTGCCAACTTGTTCTGGGGTATCCCCATGTACTTGGCTAGAGCCAAGGCAGGTGCATTATTTAGAAGTCTCCTTGGCTGATTCCACTGTGGACACCCCCACCTCACCCCCTTTGGCCTGTCATAATCTTGCACACCATGCACTATCCAGCTAGATTGCCACCTCCTCTGTGAAGCCTTCCCTGACTGCCACCAACCACAGACGGCGTCTCCTCCCGTTACATGCAAAGTCAGTGCCACATGGCTCGCTCCTATCGGTTCTATACTTCGTTCATGGGTGTCATCTCTGTTTCTGCAGCCCACCCTGCAATTTCCTGTGGTTTACCTTCCATCCCTTAGACCCTTGCTCCTCAAAGTGTTCTCTGTGGATCAGTGGCATCGCATCACCTGGGAGCTTGTCAGAATGCAGAATCCCAGGCCCCACCCCAGACCAGATGAATCAGACTCTGTATTGTACCAAGGTCCCTGGAAGATGTATAGACATTAAAATGTAAGGTGTGCTAGTCCAGAGATGGCCACCGGGTACTTGGGGAAATACTGCTCAATCACTTTTCCTTATCGCTTTTCATCCTCTGACCTACTTTATCAATATTCATCTCTTGTCCGCCCCTGCCCAGGTGAGAACGTAAACTCCCTGAGGCCAGGGTGTGATCTGTTGTATTCACTGCTGCGTCCTCTGTAGACACTCAGTACAAATTCACTGAATGGAAGAATACGCATTTAAAAAATCTCCATCTTCCAGGATCATTTCCCTGTTGAGCAAGTTCCGACTGGGATTCCACGAAGTTCATGTCCTTCCTGACATCAACCAGAAGCCGCGGGCTGAGCAGTAAGTTCTCTGTGTTGACTTACTTCCCAGGCAGAAGGGCCCGCTGTGTGCCCCGCACACCCCTGTGTCTGGTGCGCCTCGGGCAGAGGCGCCGTCAGCCACCTGGACAGGGCTCAGGGGAGGAAGGAGGAAGGTGAGGATTTTGCAGCCCTTTATCTTCCCTGTCAGGGTTTCTTTCTTTGCATATCAGAGCTCTGGTCTTTGCCAGAAACACACCTGGGCTGGAGGACAGGGAATGTTCACGTTTGTGCAAGTGTTTTAAAGCTGGTGCAAGTCTCGGCTGTTCTGCCACTCGAGGGAAGGCAGGTGTTTCATCCTCAAGGGACCCCACCCCCACCCACCCCACGGACCTGGAGGGAGGGATGGGGGGACGGCGGTCTCTGGCTTCACACTTCACACTGCTTGCTACTCAAAAATTTCTAAAGTTTCTCCAGCACCCTGAAGGGTTGTCATAAAGCAGTGGTTCTCAAACTTCGGCCTGTGTCAGAATCACACGGAGGGCTTATGAAAACACAGCTTGCTGAGCCCCGCTCCTCCCGCCCCGCCCCACCCCGCCCCAAGATTCTGCGTCAGTAGGTCTGGGGTAGCGCCTGAGAACCTGCATTCCTAACAAGCTCTCAGGGGCTGGTCCCGGCACTTCATTTGGAGAACCACTGTCTTAAGGACAGTCTGTATAAAGTGCTTAACACAGTATCCAGCCCCGAGTCAGTGTTCAGTAAATGCTGGATCGATGGCTTCTGCCTCCTCATGGCTTCCGAGCTCTAGACCTTGACCTTTTCGTGAGGTCTCGGCTCCACTACAGACTTGCTTCCTTCTCTAAGCCTTGCCCAACTGAAGTTCTTGAAAAAGGAACTGCAACTGGCCCAGCTCAGCCCTGCCCGCAGGGCCCAGGTAGAGGTCACCGCAAAGCCTCTTTCTTGGCTACCTTTGCTCCAGTTGGCCATGACCAGGGCTTGCAGAGTCACATACCCAGAAACACATGGCTGGAGGATAGGGGCCATGACAGAGGCACGTCCCTTCCACGGGGCTGAGGGATACTGGAGCAAACAGAACCGAAGGTGCAAAGGCCCTGAGGCAGAAGCATGGCAGCCACAGCCCCTGATGTTATTTCCATGAACACACTGGTGCTGGGAGTGGGGAAAACGTTGACGGGTCTGGGCCATAACTCTCCTCCTGCCCCCATGCACCAGCAGGCTCACGGACTTTAAGCAAATCCCCGTGTGAACTTGTAGCTACACTCAATGGCGGTCCGAAGGGATGATGACTCACCTGCTCAATGATTCAATTCCCTAGTCTGAAACTAAGACATTTATAATCGGGCTTGCTTTCTGTAAATCCATGTACATGAGTTTTCCCAGCCCTCCCTCTCCTCAGTAAAGTCAGGTCCGTCCTGACCTCTTACCTCTCCCTTATATTCCCCATTGCCTGGAGAGGGCAGGACCTGGTCCACGGTGACAGACACATCGGCTCCTACCATGTGCCAGGGCAGAGAGGAGTAAATCAGAGCCCCAGGCCGCCGGGGATTACGCCGACCCCAGTGCAGGCGGGAGGAATCCAGAGCCACGGGAGGAGCGTGGCAGACATGCGCCAGAAAGCACGAGAGAATGCAGCTGGGCTGTTTCTGTTGGTGGAGGAGCAACGACTTAAGACATCTGGGCATCCTTCCCCGTGGGAGGAGCTTGAGAGCAGGCCCACAGACCCCATGCGGCAGTCCTGATCTTTAAAACCCCAGCCTTGGGGCGCCTGGGTGGCTCAGTTGGTTAAGCGACTGCCTTCGGCTCAGGTCATGATCCTGGAGTCCCGAGATCGAGTCCCGCATCAGGCTCCCTGCTCGGCAGGGAGTCTGCTTCTCCCTCTGACCCTCCTCCCCCTCATGCTCTCTGTCTCTCATTCTCTCTGTCTCAAATAAAGAAATTAAAAAAAAAAAAAATCTTTAAAACCCCAGCCTTGGCCCTTCTCTGCCTTCACTTCCGGGCCTGCTCTCTCCTCCCTCGCTCAGCCAAACTTCTCCAAAGAGATCGACACTCTTTGCAGCCACTTCCTCACGGAGATCCCCCTCGCCAGTGTCATCACTGGCCTCCGCCTCACCCACAGAACCCCTTTCTGGGCTCATCTTCCTCTGCCTCTCCGCTGCATCCCACACAGTTTCCCTCTTGAGACAGTTCTTCCTTTGGCTTCGGAGGCTTCAGCCTCCACAGGATTCCTCCTACCTCAGCGACCCTTCTTTTGGTTCCGGTTGCTGGTTAGTCCTCCTTTTTCTGAGCGACACTTGCCAGCATCTTTGGGATTCGGCCCTGGACCTTTTTCTCTTGACTCTGTCCCCAGTGTGAGCTCCTCCATCCATATGGCTGCAGGGGGCTTCATCTGAGGGCTGACCAGTCTGAATTTCTATTTTTAATCCTGTAAGTCAAGTCATACAGAACAGCCTCCAGCAGCTCCCCGTCTCACTCAGGGCAAATAGCGAAGGCCTGCGCGGTCTAGGCTCTCACACTCGTGTGTCCTCACCTCACCCCGCTTTCCTCTGCCCTCGCCTTGCTCTAGCCATACTGGCTCCTTTGCTGCTCCTCAAAGAGACCGAACACGCTTCTGCCTCAGGGCCTTTGCACCTTCAGCTCTGTGTGCTCCAGCACCCCCTGGCCTGTGAAGAGCTGGCTTCAGAAGGACAGCCATCCTTCAGCTTCAGGGAGGCCTTCCTTGCCCCAAATATTTCCAGTCCTGGTACTCGGTCTGTGCTTTCTTCATAAAGCTCGTGATCTAGATTTGCCTGTTTATTGCCCAGCAGATGGTGAGCTCCGTAGATAGAGGACATTGTAGGGGTTTTTGTTCAGGTTTGTAGCGCAGAGCCTGGCGCAGGATAGTTAGTGCTCAGGAACCACCCAGGGAATGGTCGGGTGGGTGGAGGTGGGTCCCAGGCCAGGCGTTGTGGACAACTTACAGAAGTTCAGTGGAATGCCAGACCCAACGGGTCAGTGCTGATTTCTACATGGAAGCCGCTTTGATGTAAACCACAGCGGCAGAATGCGTTCAACCTGAAAAGCATGTCCCTGTGGCGCCCATCTCCGTCTCCCTTGGGGGACCTGGTTCTCCTGGAAACTGGGCTGTCTCACCTGCTCTCTCTGCCCCAAGCACCAAGCGGTTTGAGGACATGATTGCGCCCTTCCGCCTGAATGACGGCTTCAAGGACGAGGCCACTGTCACAGAGATGAGGCGGGACTGCCCCTGGAAGATCTCAGATGAGGAGATTAACAAGAACAGAGTCAAGGTACCCAAGAGAGAAGGGCCTGGCTGGGGTGGGGTGCGGGTCAAGGCGCTCCTCTGGGTCAGGGCCACGTGCCGCATCTGTCCTGAGCTTCCTTAACCCCCTCCCCTTGACCATCCCCCTCCACCATGCCCCAGCCTCTGAGGTATCCTCAAGCCACAGATGCTGGGTAAATGAGCTGTGGAACTCAGAGCCGTTCTTGGCATGAGTCACACCCCGCTGTGGCGATGGACTGGTGGAGGCTCCCCCTCTTCCCCTCTATCCCTGGTGGAAGGGCTTCACGGCACAGTTGGCGAAGGTCAAGGTAGAACTTGCACTGTGGGCCAACAAAGCTGCTTGATGGTTCCCCTTAGCCTGTGGGCGCCCCCCTACATGTAGCCTAAAATCATGGCCACCCCTGCCCAGATAGCATCTTCTAGATTCTTCAAGGCCTAAAGGAGGGTAGTGGCCGCCATGGCCACTTTAAGATGGGGTGAGCAGTTCTGCTCCCTGTGCTCCAGGTCAGTGGTCCCCCACCCCCACTTTGCCCTCAGAGGACATTTGACAATGGGTCCGTTTGCCACTGGTGAGTGGGATTGCTACTGTCACTTAGTGAGTAGAAGCCTGGAACGCTATTAAACATCTTACAACTCACAGGACAGTTCCCACGACGAAGAATTATTCTCCCCACAATGTCACCAGTGTAGGGTCTGGAGTCTGTGATCTCAGTGAACTCACTTCCCTGACGTTTTCCATTCTCTCAAATGGGGTGTCCTCCCACAATCAGACTCTTGAGTGTCAATCATGTCTGAACAATCTGGAGACAGGCCTTGGGGTGGGAGGGAGTCTCCCCCACAACCCAATCTTACATAAGCTTTAGGGAATTCTGATCTGTCAGCCCTGAGACCCTGCCCCAGAGGGCTCACAGCTCCTTGGAAAACGCTGGATAAAATGTAGTGTCCAAAGAAGGGTCTGGCCTGGCCTGTTATGGAGGGGGAGGTGGTACGTTCCGCCTTTGCTCTGAGTCTACCTTATCAAGTGCCTTCCAAGTGCCGAGCCCTCGACATCCGCGTGTTTTTGCGTGGGTTATCTCCCTCAGTGCTGCCCACATCCCCCCATACGATAATGGGATTATCGTACCCATTTTACAGTGAAGACAGTGAAGCTCGGGGAGGCCACGTGCTTTGCTCGGGTCCTCTCTGCTGTGAGTTCTCAGGGCTGAGATGTGGACCCAGCTCACCCTACACCGCGGAATGTGCTCTCTCTCCCAGCTAGCCCCACCCCCCACCCCCAGTCATGGAAATAAGGTCTGGCAAAGAAAAGCCAAGGAGGGTTTCCCAAGGAGGTGGACTTGGCACTCTGTTACCCCGAGTGTCCCCTTCCGTCTCGGAGGAAGGAGAGTCTGTAATACTTGAGGGGGAAGAATTCGTGCATCTGGTCTGGGCTTGTCGGGGACAACTCTTGAGGATGTGGGCAGTGACCCCGCGGCTTCTCCTTGCTCCAGTCCCTCCGGCAGGTGAGGCTGAATGAGATTCTGCAGGATTCCTCCCGGGACGCCGCTCTGGTGGTCATGTAAGTAGCCGCCACTGGGAGGGGAAGGCTGTCCCCGAGGCCCAGGATGTCCGCTCTGGGAAGGGGCTCAGGAGGTGCGCGCCGGCTGAGGGCCCGAGCCCTCCCCTGTGAGGCAGAAGGGCCCAAAGCTCCAGGGAATGCCGCCCAGGTGGCTTTTTGGCACATGGCTGGGCCTGCCCCCGCTCGGCTCCCCTCACCTGAGCACCAGTTGGCAGAGGTCTAGGACCTCACCCGTCTCTGGCCTCGCCGGCTCCCCTCCCCACCGTTTGCCCTTGGTCGCCACCTTTCCCTGCCAAACTCACCTTGGCAAAGACGACCCCGCTCATTCCAGAAGAAAAGCGTTTCCTGGTTGTTTGGGAATCGCCCAGGCCTCTTTGGCCATGGGCCACCCCCGGCTGCGGTGGGTGCCAAGCCTGGGCAGCAGCAGGAACAGAAGCTCGCTGCGCCGGGCTCTGTGCCTCACGGGCCCTCGGCTGCGGCCGCCTGTGGCCCGCTCTGAGCCCCTTCTCATGGGCAGGGGCCGAAGCCGAGGAGGTGGAAGGTGAGGGCGCAGGTGGCGGTGGCAGAGAGGGTCCCAGAGGCCCGGAGGGAGAACACGGGCAGCCCGGCCCGCTGACTCCCCTCTCCCAGAGGAAGCTTAGCTCGGAGGGAACGGGCGCACTTGGCAAGGCCTGTCACTGGCCTGGCTTTCCTGAGGGCTAGCCACCTGGGAACTCCTGAGGATGGCCCAGAAGCCGGCAGAACCTGTTTTCTCGTGCCCTGAAACCAGGATCAAGCACACCACTGAGGGGCCCCAGTGCCAAATGAAAAAGTGGGGCCCCTTCTTCAAAAATTATCAAGAATGGCAAGAAGGCAGCAGCGGAGGATGGAACCCAGCATGGGACCCTTCTAAGTGTTGCGGGGGGAGCATGTGACTGCACAGCTTGCACGCCCAGGAAGCCAGCTCTGCTCCCCGGGGCTCTTAGGGAGAGCATTTTTTTGGTACAAAGAAGTGCTTTGTGTTTCCTTGATGCGGCAACTGTGGTAAGAGAAAGGGCTGCGTTTCTCTGCAAGCCTCTGGCCAACACCCAGCAACCTAGGGCAAGGTTGGCCTGGGCTGTGGACCGGGTCAGAGTGCAAGACAGTGGCTTCATCCCGGGACGACTCCCCAGACGTTTCCTTGGGTTGGTGCCCCGGGTGCCAAGCCACCTCTTCATGAGGGCCAGCCCCATTCAGAGAAGCAGGTGTGTGCTTTGTCTCCGCTCACCGTGCGGCCTTGGGCAAGTAATCCTACTTCTCTGCATCTCAGTCTCCCTGATAATAGAGAAGGGTTAAACCTAATTATTTCCAAGGTTGTCCTTCACCCCAACCAGGAGGTGGAAGGTGAGGAAGAAGTAATTTCTGAGGAAGAAAAAAATCCTCCCCTGCCTCAGGAGGAAAGATAAAATTACACTTTCCAGCATTTTGAAGAGCATACTCAGACCATTTTCTAGAGCAGGTTTGGGGCAGAACTTGGTTGTGTGCTGTCTACCCAACAGCAGTTTATCTGATTAATGGCCTATGTTTGAGTTCAGCTTCACCCTCGCAGCTGATAAACCAGCCTTATAAGATAATAAACCGGCCCAACAACCTTTGCCTAGACAAGCAACCTATTTCCGGTCTCCCTTTTGGGACTCGACCCCTCTCTTTTCCTATAAAGACACCCTCCTCAAAAGCAAATAATAATTGAAATAATAATAATCAACATCGCATTTTATTGATTGAGCCACACTGGAGGCATGGGGTCTTAGTAATTTTCAAAACTCTGTGCAGTGGTTCTGTTTTACCCCCGTCTCCCCCACAATACACACACGTTGGAAAGAGGGAAACTGAGTCTCAGAGGAGTCAGGCAACTTGCCCGGGGATCCCACAGCTGTGAAGTGAGGATTCGGTTTTGAAGCCTTGGATCCAGGTTAGAGCCAAGCCTGCCTTTCTTTGTGGCCAAGAGATGCAAATCTGAACAAAAAGTTCCTCTGTTCTCGAGCGGCTTTATTTCTGAAGATCCGTGGCTGCCAGTGCACGTATCCTGGGAGCAGGAGTTGGGGGTCGTTGGCTAGTGCAGGGGCAGAGTGCAAAGGGAGCCTGTCCCTCGGACGGGTGGGTGGGTGGACAGGTGGACAGGCTCTGCTGGGGAAGGGGACATGACGCTGAAGCTTGAAAGGCCAGGGCAGGAGTGACAGGTGTCCCCTCAAGAATGCAGCCACCAGCCCCCTCGCAGCCTTTGAAATTTCTGAACTCAGTGCCAGAGAATGACGTAGGAGTTCCCGGAGAGCTTTGTCGATGACATAACCAAAACTTCAGCCCCACTGTGAAATCAGGAAAGTTTCGTTTTGATCTTTCCATTTCCCTTTCTCCTTGAGAGTCACCAGACACAAACATGTTCTAACTAAGGCAACGCGAGCTTCATGAAATACCCCTGTTCCTGCGGCTTTTCCCCGTCCCAGGGAACTTGCTTTTCTTTTCTTTTCTTTTTTTAAAAATATTTTTATTTATTTTAGAAAGAGAGAGAGCAGGGGGAGGAGCAGGAGAGGGAGAAGCAAACTCCATGCTGAGCGTGGAGCCCGACGCGGGGCTTGATCCCATGACCCTGAGATCATGACCTGAGCCAAAACCAAGAGTGAGATGCTCAACCGACTGCGCCACCCAGGTGCCCCACCCAGGCGCCCTTGCTTTCTAAAGGAGGGTGGAGGTGGTCCCAAGGGAGGCTTCGAGGATAGAATTTTAAGCAAGGGACAGGTGTCCAGGGCCCCCTGTCAGCCTTCTCAGTGAGGGTCGCTGTGAGCAGAAGCATCTGGGGTGGGAGAATCCCACAAGCTGCTCACCAGCTTGTCACTTGCTGCTGCTAAATCGCAGTAAGTGTGACAATAGCTTTTTGCACGAGGAGGTGCTTGCCAGGTGCCAGGCACTGCGGGCGCCCTTTGTAGGCTCTGACCTCTTTGGAGCTCACTAACAGCCTCTGAGGGAGGTGTGTGTGTCCTCACCTCAGGGAAGAGAAAACAGAGGCTCAAGGCAGCGAGCCACCTGCCAAAGCCATGTGAGCCACATGGCCAAGGAGGGGCAACGCTGCTCCCAAGCTGCCCTGCGCCCAGAGCCCCGGCCCTGCGGCCAGAGTCGCTCAGCGCCTTCCTTTCTGCCCGGTGGCCTCGGCCGGGAAGAAGGCCAGCGCTGCAGGGCCTGCCCCGTCCCCCAGGGTTGTGTTCAAGTTCAGATGCAACAGTGGCCGGGGATGTCCTGTAGGAAAACAGACTGCAAAGGGCAGCCCCAACTTCACGTCCCGCCCGCCGGGCCTGGGACGTACCGCCTTCTCCTGGAGTCAAGAGCAGGTCAGCTGCGGTCATCCTGAAGCATTTTTGGAATCCCAAGATGGTGAGAAAGTCACCTCCTGAAACAGCCGTGATGATATGGCTCAATGATGGCCCCAGGGCACCTCATTATCTGCATGACTTTGCCGTGTGGACAAGGGGCCCTCAGGGCAAGGGTGGAGTACTGGTCCCAGGGCCTCGCATACATGGTAGAAGGCAGGACAGGGACACTCAGCTGAAACGTGTGAGCAGATCACATCGTCGTGATTGGAGCAGCCCGAGGGGGAGAGACCCCCCCACTGTATCAGACTGCATTCTAGACGCAGGGAAAGGATAATGAGCGAGACAGACGTAGCCTGAACATAAAGTCGACTGGGGGAGACAGACAAAAAACAAACAAATGAAAAGAGGGTTTGGAGAGTGGGAAGCGCTGTGAGGACAATGAAACAGGGTGCTATGATAAAGAGAGACAGCAAGCTTGTTCTGGAAGGGGGTGATCCTAGAAGGAGGTGCAGGTGAACCAAGGCCTGGGTGATCTGAAGGAGCCAACCAGGTGGAAGGTGGGAGGCGCTGCCTTTTGGGTGGGGAGAGCTTCACATGCAAAGGCCCTGGGGCAGGAGCAGCTTGCCATTTTTTTTCAGGAATGGAAGAAAGCCATTATGGCTGTAGGGTTGTAAGCGAGGCCGAGGGTAGAAGGAGGTGAGGTTGTGGATGTTGGTGGAGACCAGATCATGTGAGTCTTACAGGCCGTGGCTCTGTTTACACCAGCTTTGTGGCTGAAGGTACACTTGGAGTCAAGCTTTTAAGAAGAGCGGGAGGTCGTTCTTAGGGTAGCTAGGAAGAAGGAGCGCTAAAGGAGTCAGTAAACAGAGTTTCTGATCAGAAAGCGAATCACAGGCTGGGCTGTGTGGGGAAGGGCTCCTGCTAAGTGTTTATCTGCTGCTTCTTCCTGCTTGCAGTACCTTGCCTATAGGGAGGAAGGGGAAGTGCCCGAGCTCGCTGTACATGGCCTGGTTGGAGACGCTGTCCCAGGACCTCCGACCTCCGGTCATCCTGATCCGAGGGAACCAGGAGAACGTGCTCACCTTTTACTGCCAGTAACTCCAGGCTGGGCCATGCCTGCCCACAGCTGAGGGCGCCCGGGACATCCGCCTGTCCGTGGGACAGACTCTCATGTCCTGTTGTACTTTAAGCATCTGATGATCCGACTGAAGAAGCTGGTAGATTTCCAAACTTTGGCTGGTCCCCACTCCCCTGGGACAGTCCTCTGGGCTTTGCTTTTATGGGCCAGAGAAGTAGCAGATGGAGTTGTGTGGAAACTTCTCTGGTGAATCCATTTTCCTTTTAAGTTTTCTTTTGATCTCGATTACAATGAATTAAGATTTCAGTCTTTGATTTTTTTTTTTAAAGATGTTATTTATTTATTTGAGAGAGAAAGAGAGAGAGAGCACAGGAGCAGGGGGAAGGGCAGAGGGAGAGGGAGAGGCAGACTTCCCGCTGAGCGGGGAGCCTGATGATGATGATGATGATGATGATGATGATGGGCTCGATCCCAGGACCCCGGGATTATGACCTGAGCTGAAGGCAGATGCTTAACCCACTGAGCCGCCCAGGCGACCCCAGTCTTTGATTTATATGCAAATTTGAGTCAGAGTGCTGAGTGTGAATGTGGCAGTTTCTAGGCCACCAGTCAGGAGGATGGGCGTCCTCCTGCAGCCCTTAGAAGGGTCCTTTGAGCCTCCATGATGCAAATTTCTTTAACTGCTTCTCACTCTCTTCACTTTCAATAATGTGTCTTCAGCCTTAGGGTTGGTTCTTTGGTAGATAAGGGACTTTTAAACCAGTTTAGGCTGCAACCCACAGTAAGAAATATCTTTTATGTTGAGACTTGAAACAAACACACACTGAAACTATAAATGAAACAATACTTACTCTTACCATGGGTGATGCACTCCAATATATTCTATTGTATTTCTTTTTCTCTTTTTAATGTGGGTTGCAATCCACGAAAGGGTGGTGACCCGGGATTTGCAGAAAGGCCGTGTTGGGCATCACTGCCATTTCCCCAGCATATCCCCCAGAGAAGGAAAGGGAATGAACAGAACACATGAGGAGGGGTACTGATGGTGGGCATCAGTCGAGAAAGAGCTTCAAAGGAGGGAGGGGCAAGATTCAGGGTGTCTCATGGAAGGGTGTTGACCTTCAGGTTTGGTTGAGGATGGAGGGTGGAGGTTTGGTTAGGGATTCAGGTTTGGTGGGTCAGGAATGGAGAAGCAGAGAAGAGGCATAAAGATGGCCAGATTGGCAAAGGATCAGAAAGGTCCACACTCCTCCTAAGTCAGGGAAAGAGAACAGGGGAGGAGGAAGCAGCAAGAGATGGAGGCAGAGAGGGCTGCAGTGGGGGGTGGGTGTAAGATGGGGGTCACAGATGAGAAGGAACCTGGGGAAGATGAGCGTGGCTCAGGTAAGGGTGTTTTGATACCCCCAGAGTGTTTGCACCAACCAAGCTAGGACACAAGAGCAGAATGTACATTAAGAGAAGTCCAGTGTCGGTGGGTGAGGCTCCCTGGAAAGGCATTTCAGCTCTAGACGCACCCCAGCAGCTTACAAGTGGGTTGTTGGGGGGCTACGACTGGCCAGGCCTTCCTGCAATAGCCACTTTCTTCAGGGTGGACGAAGGAACGAGGCATCTTTGGATCTGGTAGGCTCCCTCCAAGCCCACTGAAGTGTCCACTTCATCATGAAGGCAGAAATCTCTTTCTTAGCGTCAGGACCCAAAGGACTTCAGGGTCTCGCAGGTACTCTTGCTGCAGAGACCAAAGGCTCTGGGCTCCCAGGCTGTTACAGGCCCCACAGTTGTTTCATGGTATCAGGGCTTACTTGCTGAGAGTGACCAGGTGCCTGGCCGAGCTTACCAGGGATGGCTTCTTTGCTCCTGACGGACGGGAGGGGGGGTCCTGCCTCTGAGCCATTCCACAGACCTGGGACCAACCCCCACCTCCAGATAGGCGAAGCCTCGCTCAGGGATTGCTTACCTTTCTAGAGCCACAGAGAAAACTATTCCCTGAAAAAATAGTTCACAAATAGACTGGGGAGACCCTGATCCAAGGTTAGAGAAGTCTCTGGCTTAGGGCATTAAAACAAACCAACAAACAAAAAGACTAATTTTTACTCTCTTAGAAACTGCATTTTGAACAATAACAGCTTTGTTTTTTGTTTTAAAAAGCCTTGAGTTAACAGTAAGGTCAAAAACAATGAAATGAATAAAAAATATGTTACTCAGTCAACAGATTTTATTTGTTTTGGAACACACTGTTTCTCAACTCTGCTGAGTGTTTTGAAAAAATTAACTGTATTGTTTTCTCAACCCTGGATTGAACTTTTCCCTGAACTTGCACTGGTCCTTTAGGTCATATTGGCAGATTTCCATGTGAACATCTACAGGAGCCACTTATATTCCCTTTGCTTCTCTTGCCTGTGTTTGCAGACGCACAGGGAACTCATTTTCTTCTGTCTTGATAAAAGCCTCCAAGTATTCTCAATCTTGCCTCAACCCGAGAGGTGGAGGGGTTAAATGGAAAGAGTCACGGCCTGGCTACCAAGAGGCTTGGACTTGAGTCTCCATCTCCCCCCAAAACTGGCTGTGCAACCTCAGATACCTCTTAACCCCTCTGGGCCTCCGTCTGTGACAGGAGAGAGCTGGACCAGAACAAGTGTCCCCAGCCAGCTGGCCTGCTGATGACTGTGGTTTGGCCCACACATGGTGGATCAAAGTCATGGGTTGCTGGGGGTAGGTTGGAGAACACATTCTTCAGCCACGCCCCACCCTCAGCCATTACTTCCTACTGCCCTGCCTTGGGATGGGCTGGGGTGGGGGCCTCTTGAAAGCCCTCCAATTCATTGTTCGGCCCATAGAGCAGCAGAATGATAACAGATTTCAGTTCCCAGTGTATCTCTCTCTCTCTCTCTCTGCCTCTGGGTGATAAGATCCTCCACCTTCATGAGTTTCAGCAGTGGGAAATGTTTCCCATATAGTCTTCCCTTGCATTGTGCATGGAATGGGGCCCAGCGGCAGCCAGCAGCCATGCTGGCCACCCCTCAGCAGGGGCACCTCACCCCTGTCCCCTGGGAGCCACTGTCCAGTCAGCTCTCAATTTTCTCCTCAGCGTCTCAGCTTCCACATTTCACATCCTCCTTCGGTTCCTGCCCAGACTTGTGGTGGCTCTGAAGTAGGCACTGTATGGCCCATTTTTCACCCAATGGGCTTGCTGAGTTCTACCCCCCAGGCAGAAAGCTGTGGGCCTCATGAGTACATGGAGAGTCCCCATTTGGACTGGATTCCCTTTTACACACCTGCCTGGCCTCTCTTGTGTGGTGAGGGAGAGGTGAGTTTTACAGGGATGAAGCTAGCTGGAATGTTCTAGAAGAACCACCTGGCTGGAAGGCCCCCAAGCACATGCAAAGCAGCCAGGTTTCGCTTGTAGCTATGTTTAGCTCAGGAAGTCACAAAAAATGCTGCTAAATTCAAAAGTGTTCACAGAAGCGGGACCCAGGAAGGCCCAGCCACTGCTGCATTGGTAATTCTCCGTTTGAAGTGAGGGTCAATCTTATGATTGAAAGCACAAGCATCATATAAGTGCCGCTTCCTAAAATGGAACCAAAACAAATTCAGTTTCTAAAAATGCCATGTGGGTAGAGCCTTGTGAAGAACCACCTGGCTGAGGGGACAGACAGCAGAATGTCATACAGATGAAGGACAGTGTCAAGAGAGAACAGTGTTTTTTGTCCCAGCTTATAAGAGAGTTACAGATAAAAGGCTCTAAGGATGTGAAAGAGGGAGCAAACACGGGAGATCAAGGGAATTAGGCTAGTCTCTCTAGAGAAAATGGCATTTAGAATAGGTGTGAATGATTGGTAGGATTCTACAGACAGAAAGGAGGGCTGGGGTTGGGTCCTCCCAGGGAGCAGGAGTAGTTCGAGCAACGACCCGAATAAAGAGAGCCCTTGTTTGGAGAACAAGAAATAAGCCAGTTTTCCTGGAGTATGAGGGCTGTGGATGTGGAAAAATAAGATCAGGAAAGTCATAATGTAGAAGGCCCCCACTCTGAGGCTGAGGAGCTCATAACTGACTCAGAGGCACTAGGGAGCCACTGAAGGTGAAGGGGCAGATCTGAGCTTTAGGAAGCTTAGCTGGTCAAAAGATGGAAGAGGCTGAAAGAGAAAAGGCAGGGCACCCAGGGAGGAGTATGTGCAGACTGCAAAGGCAAGTCAGCAAGGCCCAACACTCTAGGAGTGGCCGAGGGCACGGAAAAGAGGGAGGAGATGGAAGAAAGGATGTATAAATGGTACCTTCCAGAACTAGGAATTTCCCGGATGTATGTGTGTGTAGAAATAGGGCCCCAAAAATTGAGCCTGGGCAGCTGTAAGATGGGGAAACCATGTACTATGGAGGGCAAGGTAACGGGCTTTCTGCTGGAAGGAGAGAGAGTAAGTGGGTTTGGTTTTGGATACTTGATGGGTGAACACATCCCAGTGGGCAGAATTGTGGTCCTAGAGCTCAGAGAGCTCAGGGTGTCCACTGTTAGCTGGGTGCTCTTTGAGAACAGAGACCATAAATAAATTTGGGAGTCATACTCATGAACAAGAATATTGAAGACAAAGTTTTTTTTTTTCTTTAAAGATTTTATTTATTTATTTGAGAGAGAGAGAATGAGAGACAGAGAGCACGAGAGGGAAGAGGGAAGAGGGCGGGGGGGGGGAAGCAGACCCCCCGCTGAGCAGGGAGCCCGATGTGGGACTCGATCCCGGGACTCCAGGATCATGACCTGAGCCGAAGGCAGT